CGTGGACTAATGAACCTGTTACCTGAATTATCATGGAGCATCTAAATGAACACATCATTATTTTAGGCATATCTTGTGTCTGGACTAAAATCTATTTTCCAATTTATTGAAACAGTTTTTTTCATCTATGGAAAACAAATGGCTCTCTATATAAATGATGCACATCCTTTGCTGTTTTTGCATATTTAGTTTAGTTAAAAATTGTGTTTTTTTTTCATTCTGCTTATAAAACTAATTCAGTTTTATTATAAAACAATAAAAAAGAACAAAAGGCCACAGATGTGAATAAATCATTTGGGTGTGCCGATAAAAAGGCTGATTAGAATTCAACGCCCCATTTCTCTCATTATTCCTGTTATGATGAGGATTAATTATCAATTAAACTCATGATTCCACAAGTCTGCAGTGGATCTGCTGTGTATCAAGGGAGGTTATTCTCTGGATGGTGAAGTAAATAAATGCCTCAGTGTGCGAAGACTTTCATGCTGTGTTTGGTATGCTGTGACGTGTTTCAGCAGACGGGGTAAATACAAAGCTAAATGGAGATGCTTGCATTTGCAGATCTGCAAAGAAAGACAAGCAGTCACACAATCCAAAACTAATAAAAATACTAGAAACACACAGCATGAGGAGAAGTGCAAAGATGTGTGCACAGGGCTGAAACTACTGACTGTTTAAATAATCAGCCAGTGGGTTATTACTGTAATTAGTGTTTTAGTTATCTGATTAAATTGAACCAAAATGTATTTAGTTTTTTGCTCTGAAATCGCTCATATCCTCAGATTTGCTGGATGTTTTAGTAAAAACTGCTCATTTAAAACAAAAGGATGCTATAAAAAAGCTAAATAAATGAATGTGAATGAAGAAGGGGAAATCATTAAAAAGGTCCTTCACTGAAAAACCATTTTTTCTTATTGTTTTTTTATTGTAATTAGTCACTCTGAGTTGAGCACGCAGGCTTAACATGAAAACAGTCTTCCACACCTGTGCCCTGCATTAGCGTCGGACAGAAAATGGACGATGAAACTCTGCGTCACATTGTCTCACAGATGGTTTAGCGTCCAGGAAACATCAGAGAACGTCTTTGTTAGTAGAAGTTAACCTTTAGCATTAGCGACTTCACCACACAGCAGAACTCATTCAGGCTTGTTTTATTTGTGGAGATTAAACATCAACGTTGCAGTAGAACCGCGTTGCTGTTATCTAATCTGAGGCGAGATGTCCAAATATCAGGAAATAAGAGTCCAAATCCTTCCGTCTGAAGCAGATTTCTCCTCTTGCTGAATTCTCCGTGGTAAAACAAGCACACCAGAGCTTGTTTTCTTCTACAGACCACTGCAAATGAAACAACAGATGAGTGAAGGACCTCTGTAAGGACAAGAAAAGACAACTCTGACATAAACAGGTTTTTAGGACATGTAATTATGTAAGGATAACGTCAGGCCAGCAGTAGCTCAAGCAGTAGAGCAGGCTGTCCAGTAATCTGAGAGTTGTGGGATCGATCCCGACAGAGAATGCTGCTGTTGTGTCCTTGGGCAAGACACCTAACCCGCCCTGCCTGCTGGTGGTGGTCAGAGGGACCGCTGGGGCCTGTGCTCGGCAGCCTCACCTCTGTCAGTGCGCCCCAGAGCAGCTGTGGCTACAACGTAGGTCATCACCACCAGGATGTGTGTGGGTGATTGTGTTTAGGCGCCATATCACCAATATAATCAGCTTGATCGTTAAAATGGTCTTTTGCTTAAAGTCAATAGTAATGATTTCTCCCATTGTTATTGTTTTGAGTTATATCAGCTTAAAATCACTTTATCCAAGAGTTTGGGTACATGAAATAAATCCGAGTAGATGTAAGCTGTATCTGCTATTCCAGCCCCCGTCTTTGCATTTTTCTCTGCAGTGTTGTTAGCCTTTCCATCCACCATATTTCAGATGGGTACCCTCAGAGACGAAGATGTTATCGCTGCTTGTAATTCATCATGGAAGCTGCACAACCCGCAGACTCTCCCCTCCTTCTGCTGGAGACTTTGTGTAGGTTTACATCATTGTGTGGGCTCAGGTAACAGATAACGCTTTCAGTCATCGATACAGTTGATTTGATTAGTTGCTGCAGCCCTGTTATTATTTATATGAATTCCCTTCATGCTGAGGTGTTTTGTTTATATGGGTCAATATTATTTTCTAATTTCTGATTCAGTCAATGTAGTCAAGGATTTACAAGAATCCCAGCCCGACGCTCCGTGCCTGAAGTTTATGTGAGGATTAGTTATTATTAATTCAGGCAGACCCGTCTCATCATACATAGATTTCCGTTCTCCAGTGCCCTGCTGATCTGGTACAAAGTGGATAAAACTTAAAGTTTGGTGATCTGCTCTAAAACTCAAGTAGATATGTGGGGGAAAAAAGTGTATTTATGTTTTCAGTTAAAAGTTGCAATGAAGAAGCAAATCAGTTGTGTTTTCTAATCTTATACATTTCAGCTTCTTTTTTTGCTCAACCATAGTGGTTAAATATAAAAGCTTGAACTTTTACATCCTGGCATTTAGTCAGTTTAAAGTTCCTACGGTGACACAAAAACTAACATAAACACAATCAGTACAGAGACAGAAATAATCACATTTTTAAAGGAATAAGGAAAAAATTAGCGATGAGAGAAGTTGAAAGTGGATAGAGGATGTGTAAACAACAGAAGGAATGCCCAGAGATAGTGGGAAGAAAGGGCACGGATTGTGGGAGTCTGCGAAATCGGGGGAGAAAACCCTGGGCAATACGTCAGAGCCGTGACTTCTAGAGTACAGCGCTCACCATTGTCAGGCTTTAAATGTAAATACTTCCAGCCAAGCCCACAGGAATCCCCGTTCCCAACATTCCCATATGCTGGTGAACATTCCCATGCATAGGCAGCATGTATTAATAAGTCAGGTGGTTTTGCTTTGCAGCGCTATTCTTGAATTTGCTGAGGATGAAACTTTGTGTTTGGCATACTTCCTTACATGACAAGAACATGTGCTTGTTTTCTATGTGCATAACGGTTATGGACTAAAGGTTCAGCTAGGAAGAGGCAGGGTTTGTTAGTATAAATAATGATACGTAAAGGATGCCGTTGTATGAGCGCTGGGTTAGGGTTAGGGTTTTATTAGTTTCCACCCATTACCCGGTGGTTTCTGGGATGACGTTTAGTTTATTTCTAGCCACAGCTTTGGAAAAACCCTGACAGAAAGGAGGCCACAATGACCTGGCTGGATTGTGTGCATACATATGAAAATCATTTCCATCACCTGGTATTTCTCTCACAGCTTTGGGATTCACATCTCTCATTCCCTCTTAGCTCATTAGTATCTCTTTAAATGTGGAAGTGTCTTTTAATCCTCTTAATTGCTGCTTAAAACGTGTGAACCATATTTTTAGGTGTGGCCTGTAATTTGTTTTTCCTCGTCAACATCAAGCAGGTGTGTGGTTACCATAGCGACCCTAATGAGAAACTGAAAGAAGCCGTAATACTTCTGTTTATCTGGGTTCTCTTCATACGTTAGACTCCACCTTTTATACATCGAAATAAAGTGAGAACCAGTCATTAGCTAGATTTTGAACTAGCTTTTTGAGTCACTTGTTGATCACATGTCACCACTGAACTTCATAGGTGATAGAAATAGAAAAATAATTGGTACCCTTCAAAATGTATTTTTCAAGGTTTTAATGCTGAGTAGAATTCAGAAATGATGACTGTTTAAAGATCTCTAAGTTTATAAAATGTGTTTTTTCTTACATTATATCTTAAAATCTGAACAGATGAATGTGCAGTTATGCTGTTTTTAGTATTTTTGCCAGTTAGTCTTTTTTATTAATACATTTCAAAACAGCATATATTCAAAATAAGACATTCAGATTTTTTTTTTATTTAATTATTTTTTCTCTCCAAAGTGTGACCGTGCTTAGAATAGAGAGAATCGTGTCCCAACGTAGCAGGAAATGCAGGTTCTCTAACGCAGTGTGAGTTTAAACGAATAATGTCGCCAGATATTTAAAGAAAGAGCTTGATGTGCTGCTCACCCACACCTGCAGCGATCGAAACACAAATCAGAGGAAGCAGAAGTGTGGAAACACCACAGATGAGTTGTAATCAATTAGAAACGTTACTGATGGAGCAGCTTTAGGTTAGATGGATAACGGTAGAGTTTACATCCCGACAGATGTGGTGCAGGTAGATCCAGCGATTACAACAAAAACCAACACATTCATGTTGGAAAAGGTTTTTGTTGCTGATTGACACCTACAGTAATTGTGAAAACACATCTTGCTCTCTCTAAATCAATACTGGGGTGGTTTATTATCACCTGCAGTACCTTCAGCAAAGCTTCTCTGACTCGAGCTCTTTCTTCTTCTTTCAGTCGACAACATTCTTGTACTTTCTGTCTTTATTTCCAGCATTAAATTGCTAGATTGGAAAGCCTTGTAGTATCTGATTTTCTGATTTCCTGAATAGACTGTTTTCTCTGCACATTTGAATTGTATCAATTATAAAGTTTTTTTATTCAGTTTTCCTCTTCTTTTGGCTTAAGGACCCGAGCTGAATAGTGCTCAACGACGCCTCAGCAAAGTGCTAAAATGAAGTGCTTCTGAAACCTTGAAATTGTAATTAAAAGGTGAACTGCAGGAACATAAAACTGACAAAACATCATGTCAGAGCAAAGCTTTTATTGCATTTTTGATCTCGGTGAATAGAAGCATAACTGAGGAAGTCTGCTGCTGAATCAATCTGAGGACGCCTCCAGGACACAACTGTTAACACGAAACCAGCAGGATCTTTTAGAGCTAGACGTTCACAAACATCTGGTTAATTTACGCTGTAAATATATGTTGGGAGAAAAGGTTTCATCTTCCACTCAGCGCTGAAGTCAGTCTGGTTCTGAACCAAAAGCCACTTAACATTTAGGACTGAATAAACAATCACGAGTCTTTTATGAGTCAATAAAATGATTGTTGAATATGATTTGTGTCTGTTTCAGGTCGGGGAGAGGCAACATGTGCTGGTGACCGAGGAGTCGTTTGATACTCAGTATTATGTGGCTCACAACAAATTCTATGAACAGGTAAGAAAATTGTTGCTTTCATGAAAGATTCGTGCTCTTTATACCTCCAGTCCGTCTCATTTGTTAGTTTAGCTGATGGACAGATGTTAATCTGTAATGGTCAACACAATTCAAGATGGCGGCCTCTAATCAACGTTGTCCAACACTAAAATGTTTGAAACAGATTATTGAGCTAAGATTTAGTGTTCTAGTAGCTGAGATGTTCTCCAGGGCAGATGGATAATGTAGGGTGACCACACGTCCTCTTTTCCCCGGACATGTCCACTTTTCACTCTCTGTCCTGGGCGTCCGGACTGGGGGTTCTTGTATGAATGTCTGGCTTTTCATCCAGGAGCAGGGATCGAATTATGGGGGAGCTGGATATCCTACACATCCAGGGAGAGCCGGAAAAAATGTTTCTACCTATATTACATCATTTATGGACTCTCAGTGTACCAGGGGTTCTTTGAGCAGAGAGCACAGAGAGCAGCAGAGAGCTGATCGTTGGTGAGCTCCAGGCAGCTGCGTCCAGCACACGGTCCATTCTCAAAGTGCTGCAACCAAAACACTATAATGAACACACGATCGTTCATGTCCACTCATATTCTCTATTTTCTGTCTTATTTGTGCCTGAAGCGCTCTGCTACTGCGGAGCTCATCACCTGTGCTGCGGTGACTCCACCTCACTGACGCAGCATCAAAACGCGCTCTGCGCTTTGCGGTCAGGAGATCCCTTTGATCTGCTCAAAAGTAACTGATGAGGTGAAAAAGTAAGAATCCAGGCAGCAGTTTTTCTGGAGAGTTTAGAGGAGATGCAGGAAGATGAGAGACAGACAGTACAGGAAAATAGTTAAATAAAAACAAGAAAACAGTCTACATGTCGGTAGATTTATCTCCACTACACGTTTTTACCTGTATAAAACAACAAGTCATACACATGTAATATTTATACATCTGATACAGTTCAGATCACCTTCAGAACTCAGTAACACAGCCAGGGCCGTTTCAAGACATTTTGGGGGCCAAGGCTAAATGACACCCCCCCCTCTAACTGGGCTCCCCAGAAGCCTCTGTGTAATCCATACCCTCTCCAGTAGTGTTAGTTATACAGTGTTTATAAAAGCCCCTCAAATATCACTGACATGTTCTAATATTATCAGATGAAAAACTAAATTATCAGACATGCTGTCTCATCTGCTGCTTTTATAAACTTGCAAAAAGTAACAAAACCGAGGATCACACATTTTTGCTAAAAAGCTAACGCTAGCATTGGACGGAGGTGAGCATGCGCTGACGGCCGATCACCGGATACACGGCAGCGTTTGAAGCTGATGGCAGCTCGTTAACAAACATCCACAAACAATTAAGACACATTTTCGCCTAATTTATTTACTGACAACGCAAAAAATAATCTGGTAAGTATAACTCACTCAATCTGGAGGTAAGTGAAGAGAATTCAGAAAGTTTACTAAATTATATTGACGAATTTTTCGAGTTATTCGTCATGGGTCCGAAGAAATCAGCAGCTGAGGCTGAAACACCTGCTGGGACCAAGAGGAGCCGTCCTCAGGACTCGCCTGAGGCCTCATCTCCCCGGAAAGACGTATTAGAATTATTAGATTCTATTGATAAACGGCTTCTGGGATTTGAGGGGCGACTTCATCTGCTTGAGGTTCTTCACCAGGAGTTTCAGAACCTCCGAACATCTCTGGAGTTCAGCCAGGAACAGGTTGAGCGGCTCGCTGCTGAGAACGCGTCTCTGCGGAAGTCCGTCTCTTCCCTGGAAGAGGGAATGATGCGGATCACCCTGGACAACAAAACTCTGAAGGAGACGGTTTTGGACCTTCAGGCCCGCAGCATGAGGGATAATTTGGTGTTCGCAGGTCTGCCGGAGCAGACGGGAGGGGCGGAGAACTGCGAGCAAACAATAAAGAACTTTCTTCAGACAGAAATGAAGATACCCGAAGAGAAAGTTAAAAACATCACATTTCACCGGGTACATCGCCTTGGAGCTAAAAGAGTGGACAGCAGAAGACCTCGTCCCATCGTGGCTAAATTTGAACATTTTAAGCAGAAGGATCTTGTTAAAAGTCACGGAAGAGAGCTCAAAGGAAAAGATTTCAGCGTGAATGATCAGTTCCCGAAGGAGATTCTGGATCGACGCCGGGTCCTCTTTCCGCTGCGTAAAAAGTTTATCCAGGATGGGAAGAGAGCTGTCATCTCGGTGGATAAGCTTTATGTGGACAATAAACTTTACAAGGAGCGAGGAGTGACTGACTGGCTGTTTTAGCCCAACATCAGGTCAGACATTTATTATTCTTATCAGGATTCACTGGGTTTGATCACGTCAGGATTAAACAGCTGCTAAATCCGTTTTGTAGATGATAAGATCACCTGTTAATCACCACCCCACACCCCTATTACCTTTTCTTTTTAGTTCTTACTTCTTTTTTAACCTATATCTGTACCTTCCCTTCCTTTTTACCTGCTTCTGTACCTTTACACCTGTATGGCACAACCACACAACTTTCCAACACTGCGTCAGACTCGACACACACACGCACACACACACATGCACGCACACGCACGCGCACACACACACACACACGCACACACACACACACACATATATATATTAAATTCACAGCACAATATCATAATTTATGCGTCAAATAATACAACCACAAACACTGTTGGATCTTTATTATTATTATTATTATTATTATTTACTTTTTTGTTATTTATTAACATACTATTTATACATGTATATACTTATTCCATCTTATTCACATGAAGGCGTCATATTTTAGCTACTCACACACACATCTATGGGTGCACTAAGGTTTGTCTCATGGAACGTACATGGGGCTGGCTCCATAGAGAAGAGATTAAAAATTTTTGATCAGTTAAAGAGAGTGCAAGCAGACGTAATATTGTTACAAGAGACTCATAGATCTGCCACATCCGCAGATGAACTTAAAACACCTGAGTTTCCCAGCATGTTCTCTGCCTGCTATAACTCTAGGCAAAGAGGTGTAGCTATTTTAATACACAAAAACATCAATTTCACAGTATTGGACACAGTTTCTGATCCAGAGGGTAGATTTATAATGTTAAAATTATCTGTACAGAACCAACGCTTATGTATCATCAGCATATACTGTCCAAATATTGATGACCCTCCATTCTTTCATAATTTTTTCTCTGTACTCTCCGAACACTTGGACTGTCCACTTATACTTGGAGGTGATTTTAATTTTTGGATGAATTCCTTAACAGACTGGCTCAGTACAGCTGGGACTCAGCGCAATTGGCAATCCACTAACATAGTTAAACAGTACATGAGTGATTATGGGCTCTGTGATGCATGGCGATCTCTTCATCCTAACCGTAGAGAGTATACTTTTTTTCGCACGTCCATCACTCTCATTCACGTTTGGATTATTTTCTAGTCAGCAGCTCATTGTTGGCTGACATTTCAGACACTGAGATACACCCCATAGCTGTCAGCGACCATGCTCCGGTTTCTTTAACTCTGGTAAATAAAAAGACAATCCCACCAAGCAAAAACTGGAGGCTTAATACATCCCTGCTTAAAGACGAAGGTTTTATAGAATTTTTTTAAAAGGAGTGGGGTTTATATTTAGAACATAATGACCTGCCTGGAACATCAGCATCTGTTCTCTGGGAGGCAGGAAAGGCAGTGATGAGAGGTAAAATTATCTCTTTCTCATCACATAAGAAAAAAACGGAAAACAAACGTATTCAGGAGTTAGAAGAAATCATCAAGTCTTTAGAGGCTTCCACAGAAGAAGAGTTAATGAGCAAATTACGTAAAGCTAAATTAGAACTTCATGGAATTATTGACAAAAAGACACAATTTTTAGCACAAAGACTACGAATAGAAAACTTTGAACATAGTAATAAATCAGGTAAATTCTTAGCTAGCCAATTAAAAATAAATAAAGAGAAAACTACCATATCTGCTGTTAAAGACTCAACCGGGAATATAGTATATGACCCTGAAAGAATAAACAACACCTTCAGAGACTTTTACCAAACGTTGTACTCACCACAGATAAACCCATCAGATAATGAGATCAATGAGTTCCTTGACAGGATAACACTTCCTAAATTATCAGACAGCCAAGTTACAGTCCTGGACTCGCCACTAACATCAGCGGAGCTCCAGGAAGCCCTTAAATCCATGACGAATAGGAAAGCCCCAGGTCCAGACGGGTTCCCAGTAGAATTCTACAAAGAAGTCTGGATCATTCTGGCTCCAATATTTTTCAGAATGGTGAGGGAAATCGAAGAGAGCAGCAGATTACAGCCAAACATGAATTCAGCCAATATTAGTCTCTTGTTAAAACCAGGCAAAGACCCGGCATTTCCTACCAGCTATCGCCCAATTTCTCTTATTAATGTTGATCTCAAAATAATTTGTAAAGCCCTGGCCAAAAGATTAGAGAAGGTAACCCCCTTCATAATACACCCTGACCAAACTAGTTTCATTAAGGGTAGACAATCACCCACAAATTCACGTAGATTACTTAATTTGATAGATTTCTCTTACAGTAGAAACATAGAAACTAGTATATTATCTCTAGATGCAGAAAAAGCTTTTGATAGAGTTAACTGGAAGTTCTTACTTGCAACTTTACATAAATTTGGTTTTGGGAACTTCTTCATAAACTGGCTACAAACATTATACAGTTCACCAACAGCACGTGTCAGGACGAACGACCAAATATCAGCTAGCTTCTGTCTTCAGAGGGGGACCAGGCAGGGATGCCCACTCTCCCCCTCACTATTTGCTATCTTTATTGAACCACTAGCAGCAGCAATTAGGCAAACAACAGATATTAAAGGGATAAAGTGTAAGAAAATAGAACATAAGATCAGTCTTTATGCAGATGATGTTTTACTCTTTCTCCAGAATTCTCAATCCTCTCTCTCCCAAGCAATAGAACTGATAAACTCTTTTTCCAGAGTTTCAGATTACTCTATAAACTGGTTAA